TCAGCACATTCTCTATCCAACTCTACCCCCAACATTTGATTCAGTTGACTGTGTTGAGCAATTTATTGAGTTGGAGTTAATTTTCTTATGCGATATACTTTGATATCGTAAGACTTGAATGTTTTTTATTTTTCCGTTGTTGCTTAGAAACAACAAAGGCTCCGCTTTGGCGTAATTGCTTGGAAGCGGCTCAACTGGTTGCAAAGAAGTACATTTTATTGGCAGGATCTCAGGGATTTATGGCTGGCTACAGCTCTGTGTAATTTTGAAACAATCCAACGCTGTACGATTTACCACAGTTGTACCACAGGGGCCCACGTGTGAAAGTACAGTAATGTGTGATGGGTGACCATGCCCTCCTTCATCCTCCCAGAAGAGGGAACTAGAGGAACTTTAATAAACTGCGCCCGTCCTCTAAAGCAGTCCGATCTCCATGTTGCAGCTCCTGGCGAGCATCTGGAGGAAAACAGTAGAGCCGTGGTGTGAGGTTTTAGATTTCTCTGTCTGCGAATAAAAAGACCACACTCAGTCTCACAGCATCAATTACATTTGAGAACCAGATCGTGTAACATCTGAAATACCTGTTTTCAATAAGTCTTGTTATTTCTGTGCTTTATAAAGTCTAAGAACAGTAGGGGTCCAGGAACAGATTCCACCCCCTCTTTGCCGTCTTCTGAGGACTTACAAAAAGAAAAATAACCTTTGGTCTTTTAAGTAAATATTTGAAGACGACAAAGGAATCCCAACAATGCTCAAGACTTGGTGCAATGCAAAACTTTGATGACAAGAAAGAGATGTCTGTTTGTTTGAGTAAATCTCACACCCTGTGTATGTATGGGCTTTGTTTACTTTACCTGTACATAGAGAAAAAAGATATGTTAGAAATGGAAGAACATTTTTTTAATACAAGCAGTGAAGGGAGGATGGAAGCAAGTGACATTTGGTTATGAATTTAACAGTCTGATGGCAACGAGGACAGTGCTGCCATGAACCTGACGGCTCTGGAAATGCTATTCTGGTAATGTTTTCCAGAAGTGAAAAGACTTGCAAAGTTTGTGGCGGGGATGAGTATGGTCCTGCATGATTTCACGGTTCTCTTTCAAGCATCTCCCGTGGTAAATGTCCTGGGGGGGCTGCTCTTTTTTTTTATTGCATGTGAGAAACTATACTGTTTACATCACCTGCTGTATAGCTTTACAGTCCAGGGCAGTCCGGCTCGGACACCACACGGTGATGCAGCTGCTGCGGTTACTCTCAGTCCATGTAAACTCGGCGCATGTAAAAGGAGGACGTTTGGAGCCATGTTGAATTCCCATCACCCAGTAGTACTGACCCAAAGGAACTGAAAACCGCTGACGATCTCCACTTTAAGCATATTGATCAGGGTGTTTCCTACTTGTCCTAGTTACTTCCTGAAGCCCACCATCATCCCTTTTATGTGGTGCTGTCACCGTGTTAAAGGATTCTGCTTTGTGTGCAGACTTAGCACTGACAGTGGCTATATTTACACACACACATGAAAACAGGTTTATGAAAGGCATTAAAAGAAAAAAGATAAAGGGTTTACATGACTACATTTGTGTAGTTGGCAAAAAAAAAAAAAAAGATTTGTCCCATAAAACTGCCAGATTTTTTTTTAAAACCAAGACTACCATTTTTGACATTTAATGCTTCATGGGAAAACCTGTTATTCTGTAATTTGTGCATGTGCCAGAATTTTACAAACATCCTACTGTTTATTAAATGGTATTTAAGAAATCAGTCTACTGTCGATATGCAGAAATAATCAGACAATCTTTCTTCTTCCATGAAAACACAGTAAGTGGTTGTGGCGTCATTCTCAGAGTGATAAAAGTAAGGCCCTGCTGCGCCACTCGGTTATGTGTGATCAGCTTTTAACATGCAGTGCTGGGTGTTTGCAGCGCTGAGAATAAGAGTGGAGGAAGTGCCCATCTTCACCACCAGTGGCCTGCCTGTCAGCAAGTCCAGGATTCAGTTGCACATGGTGGTACTTGGACGTGGTCCCCGAGGGTGAATGGAATTATAATGAATGCTGAGCCGTAATCAACAACATTCTCAGCCATGCTATGCTCCTCTTGTCTAAGTGAGACAGGGCAGTGTGGGGTTAAGATGACGGCATCCTCAGTTGATCTAATGCTCAATGCAAAGTGCAGACTGTCTTGCCTGGGGGAAGTGACTCTGTGAGGGTTTTGAGAGGCTGCCCGAGGCATCTCATGATGACAGATGTAAGTGGAACAGGGAGGCAGTCCCTCAGGCAGGATATCCTGAGTTTCATAGGCATAACATGAATGCATGCTGCATTGCACTGAAGCATTACCAAAAAAAAAAAGGAGCAGGTTAAAATTGAGTGTATCCACTAGGACATCTGCCAGCTGATCAGCACATGCTTTCAGAATCTAGCCAGAGTATACTGTCAGGTACTTTAAGTGGGCTGGGTGCACCTGAGAGCTCTGGACACTGTGAGTGCTCTGAGACATTCTGGCTCGTACTGTAATTCCAAAAACATGTGTAAGACTGCTTCAGTTTGTTTAGGAGAGAGGCAGGTACATGTGACGCACAGCTGGACTTCTCTCGGTGGCTCTGCAGTTGTCCTCAGACCACCAAAGCTGTCCTTGAATTTCAGTTTATTACTTACCATTAAGTTCTACAATGCAGCAACAGCATTTTAAACAGCACTCTCAACTAACGTTCTTCTTCCTGCACAGTGTGTCAATTCAGTAAGTTATCTTTTTAGTTTTACTTCATCTTTTTGTAGCTTGACTAACAACATAATAATGTATTATACGCGACCAATGTTCCACTTTACCATAAATGCACACTCTCTAAATATGCATGTAAATTATAGCTTGATGTGCAAACTAAAGTGTGTGTTAAGCTTGCACTTACATGTCCTCTACGGCCGTTTTGCTCTAAAGAATAACCTAAAATCAACTCTGTCTGTCCTTAAGGCATATTTCAGTATGAGCTCCGTTACTATGCAAGTTATTTATGTCTCTGCACCAGTGCCACGAATACTAATTCCCATAGTTTTAGTGGGTCAAGTGTTTCTGATTTATGATTTCCACTCTCGTCGTTTCCAAACAGCAAGCCAGCTCACAGTGAAGGGCCGGAGCATCTGAGGACACAAAATGGCTGAGCCGGGATACATGTCTGACATGGGTGTCGTGGAGCCAAATAAATCCCTGTTAGTAGAACGGCTTGATCCAGTGCTGGTGCCAGACTTGGAAAGTGCCCAAGCCACAGGACAAGGATCAACTCTCCATGAGCATGAACCTAACACCCACACACTTTACTACCAGTTACTGCACATGAATCAACAGTTAATAAGCTTATGACACATGTCTTAGGTGTTGGCTGGGCTCGGGATATGCAAGTTCTGAGATGCAGATAGAATGCAAAGCTGGCATAAACAAGTCTAGCTGACAGTGAACTTTGCTCGCGTCCTTGGGGTTTATGGTGCAAGCCTAATTGTTGTGTGGCCTGTGCTCTTTAGCCAAACAGTGGGCACACAAAGTATAAAAGTGTAATGTGGAGTGAAGTAGAATATTTAGAGAATGTTTGTTGTGTTCAAAAAAAAAAAAGTTGGCATTTTGTAGGCAAGGCGGTGCTAGAAGGGGATTTGAAGAGCAGAACAACAGTGCAGGTCATACCGTGGCTCTCACAGATCAATGCAGGGATAAATAGAGGGCTTGTGAGGTTGCAAAAACCAGACACACATTTGACAAACAGTTAACTGTGTAGCTTCTTCATGCATTTTGTAAATTGTAAGATACTGTTTATCTCTTTTTGATTACTGTGACAATCTGTTTGGACATTGACTTTTCAATGGCTGTTTAAATACCTTGGCTTTATGTTTTAAGAGACTAAATAGGGGATGAGACACAAGTAGTACAAAGGTTAAACTCTTTGCTTTAAGATGTAAAATGAGCAGAAAAGACCGGATCAGTGCTCGAAAGGCAGCTTCTGTTATATCCTAAGAAATTCACAATAATTGTATTGTCTTTGCAATCTGTACAGATCTGCTGCTTGTTTTCATGATTACTTGGAAGAGGATGTATGGGACCGGATGGGGCCCTCCTCTCTCTTTCCCTCTCCCCTTCTTATCTGAGGCCTTTACAGTGTTTACATTATAGACACACCTCTGACCTTCACCCAGGGCCCCTCAGCCACCTCTAATACCTCACACACGCACACACACACACCAGCATCTCCATTTCAACCACATACCAGAGGTCCTATGTGCTCAGAACAAATGTCACTTAAATTAATAAGCATGCAGAAACGAATGTGTGGTTTTAAAGGACAAGAGCGCAACATAACAACACTATCTGACCACGCAGCTTAGTTGTTTAATCGTCTATTTTTAGCATACTCGGCCATCTCTCATGCATTGCAAATGTATGGCAACATCGCCATGCAGCGGCATTGCTTTCCAGCCTACCACTGTACTGCAGAGTAGACACACCCCTCCAATACGCACGCCTCGCTGCACACATTTGCAAAGTGTCAAAGAAACCGTGGAGCAAAACGCACCAAACGACAGAGTCTGATCTCCGCGTAACTCGTGTTACCGTGTCAGCGGCGTGATATCGATCGCGGACGTTGTTGGTGGCTTGTTTTAATTAGCCTTTTATTTTTTATTTTTTTATTTTTTTGCCCTCTCACGCACGGCGCACGGGGCTGCAAACAAAAGACGCTCCCGGTGCTGAGACGCAACGTTCCCCCACCCTGCTGGGGACACTGGAGCCGCGCGCGGCGGCGGCACGGTAATCCCCCGCGCACACACCGGGTCTCCGTTGATTCAGAGATCAGAGGCGAATCGGTGTTGCTTTAAACCTCACGCGGTCAAAGTTGTTTACCTCTTCGTTACCTCTGACGTCACGACACACCCCTGTTTGAGGGGGCAGCCCCTCCGCGTTACGAGCACCGCCGCCGACCAAGCAGACCCGGGCTGGACCGCGACGTTACCAACCACAACACGGGAGCCGCGCCGAGCCCACCTGTGATTGGTTACCGTAGGGGCTGGGGGGGAAATCCCTCTTTCCCGTAGAGGTACTAGGGAGGGGGCGGTGCATAACAAAAAGTAATGGCCATCTATTTGGGTCCTGAAGAAGGAGGGATAGCCTGTTTCTCGTCGGACTACCGTAGGTGTGTTTGACTTTTCTCCATGTTAGCGCGTACGTGTGGCCGTCAGTGACACCGGGCCGCGTTTCCACCGTTTCCCCGCCGTCGCACGTTCGTTGCCCCGCGGTAGCAGTACGGTTAAATAAGCGGGCTGAACTTGGCGCCGCGTTTTAGGGTTAAAGCAGCCAGCTAGCCGCGCTAACGCTAGCTACTACCAACCAACCAACCAACCAACCGCCGCCGCCGCTGCTGCTGCCGCTGTGCGAGCCAGCGTCTGGAAGGGCGGACGAGTTTGACGTTTTCTTCCCCCCCTGAAGTCTCCTCACATTTCTGAGTTTTCTAGTCTCGGCGCGGTCGTCTCTCCTTCGAGCTACCCGAGTCAACATGGAGGGGACACACTTTGCGAGAGCATGAAGAAGAAGACGACGGCGACGGACGACGACTAAAGAGGATTAAAAGCAACTCGGTCTCGATGGGGAAAAGTTGAGCTGAGGTATGAAACTCGCATGCACAGGAGGAATGCTAAAGTCGAGAGTTGAGTTATTGTGATTTCTGTTGCTCAAGACCTCAGAAGAAGCAGATTAGCACAGTTTAACTCTGGCGTTTTATCAGGGTGTTTGCCCACGTACTTGCCCAACTGCTATATGATTACCACAGAGTGTATATGTTGCTGTTGAAAATAGTTCAGCGTTACATAAACAGAGCAACTGCAGGTCAGGTACTAGGGTAAAGGCCCACTCAGTGACTTGCGACATGCCATTTTGCTTTTGTATTGAACAGGATTAACAACTTGGGATAAACTGAAGAAAGGTTTCAAGTCTTACCTATTGTGCAAGGGCATGCTAAAGCTTCAGGTGAGACATTTCCTTTTTACTTTTAAGTCATACCTGGCTTAATGCACTGTTTGTGTTTCTTGACACACTGTGAAATTGTCTATACACGTGTTAATAAACTTTTGCTCCACTGAAGTTAAGCATTTTTGCACAGATTTTCTAGGATTGTTGCATTCTCATGACTTCACAGCTGTACTTTGGTTATTATGAATTCATCCACTCATGCCATGTGAAAATAAATCCCAGAGGAATAAGCCAGTACTTGGTTAATTGAATGTGACCTGTATAGATGTGACCTAAATCAGTGACACTCCAAACACCAAAGGACCGCGGCTTGACTTAAGTTGTTGTGCAATAAGAATCTGCAGGACTGAACAGAAAATTTGAAAATACTGTCCATTTGACTATAAACCTATTTTATCTGTCAAAGTAAAAATCTTTCAAAGCTGTTAATATTTCATTTTAAAAGTTACAGAATTTTTAAAACAAGCTGCTACCTGTCCACTCACATTTGATTGAACACACATCATTTTTAAAAGAATAAGATATTGATAAACTGCAAAATTCTGCTCTCTTGTCTTTGATTGTATGAGACCATGTATTGCAGTTATCTGAGCATTAAAGGAGTTTTGTGTCACCTCCACAAACAAAATGTACACAGTTGCATTGTCAAGTTATTTATGTTTCTTTAAAAGTACTTATATTTTAACACCGTAGGCACTCACTTAACTAGTCATGGTGAACGGAGCTGTTGGATGATAATGACATCATTAATTACTACAAGCCTCTTGTCTCGTTTAAGTGTGAAATTTAAACAACCTCCAGCTCTTCCCCGCCTTTGCTGCTCATCACTTTGAAATAAGTTTAAAGGGAACAAGTACAACTGAAAGCAAATGTTGTATATTCATGCCTGTTTTCAGCAGTGAGCTCGTATTGCAGATTTCTCCAAGCTTTTCTTTTTTGCTGAAAGATTGCAGGTATACGTACAGAAAGGTGACAAATTAAAGGAAAAGCCTGAATAAATGAGTGGAGAAACATGACAAATGTAAATGCTTCCACACAGGTGAACTGCGCTGTACAATTAAGCAATTAACATTCAGTCATGCTATGTGGCATGTATAAAAAAAAATGCAAGCCCAGCTGCTTCTGATTTTCTGTCACGAGGTAAAGAAAGTGACTTTGGGAGAGGGTTAAATGTTGCGGCACAGATAGCAGCTTTCGTTTAAAAAGTGACAAAAGTGACATCTGTATTTAGATTTGTGGGAAAGACATAAGTAAATAGGTTACGAAATTGTGGTCAACAGCACACATTTGATGATTGTGATTTTCCTGGCATGGTTTGGATCCACTCGTTCCCTCAGAAGGAGTGGTTACTGCAGATTAATAGAAGGTTTTTCTGAGTGATCACCTTCATTCTTAAATGGAACATTTCTGTCCTGATGGGAGAGGTCTCCTCCAGGATGACAGTACCTCTATCCACAGGGTGCGAGGGGGGCCCCGGGTTGGTTTGATGAGTGTGAAAATTATGTGAATCATATGTTGTGGTCTTCACAGCCACCGATTTCAACCCAAGTGAACACTTATGGGAGATTTTAAACCGACACATTAGACAGAGCTCTCCACCAGCATCATCAAAACACTATATGAGCAAATACCTTTTGGGAAAATTGTTTTCATCCCTCCAGTAAAGTTACAGAAACTTGGAGAATCAATGCCAAAGTGCATTGAAGCTGTTCTGGATGCACGTGGTGGGCCAACACCTTACTAGGATACCATTTCTGTTGTTTTTCCTTTAATTTGTCACCCCTCTCTATGCTGTTTTCTTATTTTTATATATCAGATACTTTACTGATTTAAGAAAAATGGATTGCTATGCCTTTCCCAGCATTTTGCTCACATAAGGTCAATGGTCATATGTGTTGTGAATTTTTAATGATGTGGAAATTTACTAAGGAACCAGTAGTATTTGGGCCAGGACTGCAACTTCACCCAAACGAGGATCAAGTTTGTTGTTGGACTGAGCATAGACCTGCAGAAGGAAGCTACAAAATGGGCTTGGTTTGTGTCTTTATTGACTGTAACTATAGCAGGTTGTTTATGGAGCGGTGTGCCGTGGTGATGGTACAGTCCATTAGGTCTCCTATACACTGAAGTACCCCACCCCCTCCCCCCTTTCGTGACTACAGTAATTGGTTGCTTCCTCTTACATGTGACCCTATAGAAAGAAAGAGGCTGCTGTACTTAACTGTAAAGACCCACTTGTATGTACCTCTGTGCATACGTGCCATTTTCCACATATGTTCAGTTGCCTTTGAGACTAATGAAGTGTTAAGTTCTCCCTAATGTCTTTGGGTCCTCAATTACCTCCTGTGGTTGATGGTTTCTAGGCCAAACACATCACACAGGTAATATTTGTTGTGTATTGAGAGCAAGTCAGGCACAAAAAAATCTTCTAGGAAATCAAAATACATGTTACAGGTTAATATCTTGGGCATTTGATGTATAAACTAATTTATTTTGAACTGTACATTGTGTATAAATAGATTACATATGAAATTTTAGCAGGATTGTACAATTTTTCACCTTTCATGAGCAGACATTTTATTAGAAATACAACTGCCAGTCATTTCTTAGAGTTTACGTTTTTAATAGAAGTATTTCCTGAAAGAGAGACCGTATTTTATGGAGGTTATATAACTTGACTTGTGAGCTAAGTGCTTTTGCACCCACCTCACCCACATGTCTGTTGTCTGTCCGGTTCTGTCCAGTTGGCGTTCTGCGTGCACGACTCTGTGTGCTAGAGAATGTGCATTCTCTGTCGAATTCAGCATAGACATAAACAGGACTTTTGGTGTGTGTTTGAGTGGGCCTCTCCCTGCCTCGTCTCTTTCCCCTCTCCAGAGTCCAGCAAGGGGCCCAGCATAAGGGGGCAGGCTGCCGTCACTGCCTCTCTCTCCCCTTGCTGGCCAGCAGTGGGGCCTGGGTGTTGGTGGGGGGAGTGAGGGGAGGGGGGGGTACAGAGACCATAGGGTTGGACACGGGACATGGGACCCCCCCACCCCTTCCACCCCAGTTTAGCCCATCCTGTGTGGGGCACAGGTCACCTTGTCATGTGCTATTACTGCTGCTGTAACATGCTCCCTGTGATCGTAGGAAAAGAGCATGAGATAGACCCGTGGAGGCTGCAGGAGGGAGAATGAGAGAGAGAGAGAGGGAAGCGAAGAGACAGGACTGGACTAGTCTGCTCAGCCAGTTGTTTAGCTGCATTACAGACTCAGTTTGTCTACTTTGTTGTTGTTAGGTCCACATTGTCTCTTTTTGTCCATTGTATTCTTTCCTCTATCTGTTCTCCCCATTTATTGTGTTTTTTTTCCTACAGAAATTTCTAAACACCAAACAGATTTAAACTAAACTGCATCTGTCACTAATCCCAGATCATGTTTTCTTGTAATGGTGCTTTTTTTTTTTTTTTTCTCCCCACCTTCCCCCTCCTTTAACTTTCACTTTTCTCTCACTTTTTTTGCTGCCATTGTGGACTTTTATGTGCTTCTATGTGTGAATCACAAGGCCATGTATTTCCATTGTTGCCCTGTTCTCTCTGTAGCCCGGGTCATTCCAGATCTGATTTGTTTTATGTCTCTTCTGTACTCGTAGTGACCCAGCCCGAGGTATGCAGTAAAACACATCGCCTTATGTTTTCTCCCTTTCCCTTCCAACTCTCTCAGCAACTTCTCCCTGTATTTTCTCTGCCTCTCTTTTCCTTTATATCTTTCTCCCACTGTATTGCTGTCGTTTTTCTCTTTAAGAGAAACTTTTGGCAGCATGGAACAATTTCAGAACCATTTGTGGGATTGCGTCATGTGATGTAGATGGAGGATGCTCACTGGACTGTCATACAGGGCCTCCGTCTCTCACTCAGGCGTTCCACAGCAATCCCTCTCTTTCTTCCAGTGCTGTTATAGGTCTGGATGTGATTCTGACTCTGACTCTTATGTGTTGGGATGTGGTCTGTAAGCTCATTGCTGACATTCTTGGGACATGATGCCAGAGGTTTTTTATTTCCCGCTTTCCCTTCTCTCTTCTGCACGTCTGTGTGCACTTAAAATGATCCCTCCTTGAAATGCTGTCTAGATCCTCCCCTTTACTCACTTTGTTATATCTTGCCCTGTCCTCAATCACATTTCATCTCAACGCCCAGGCCCTAATGGCCCCACTTAATTAGGTTTGTTAGATGGTGGGCGTGGGTTGATGGTGGGTTTTATAATCACTTGATATTGACTTTGATGAAAGTTAATCTAACATCTGGGCTGCGCTCCAAATCTTTTTCACAGCTGAGGTCTCATTTATGTTTCTTCTGTAACAGGGCACCTGACAACGAAAACCAATGACCACTTTCCTGTTTGGTAATCACATACTTGTGATGCAGCTGGAAATCAAATGCCGAGTTCAACAGAGGGAAATAAGTTACCTTATGAGTGCTATTGGACTCTTGCCATGGTCCACATTGGCACTTATCCCTGTATGAATATCTCACAGCAGCTCAAAACTCCCTGTAGGCAGAGTAACTGCAGCAGGAATACACACATTCATGCAGTACTATATTCAAAAGGCTGCGTTGTTTGTGCAAAACTTTCATCATTAAAGAGATACTACTTCACATATTAGCTCTAAACAAGTCTCACTCTGTGTTCCTCAGAGTCACACCATCTGTAGTCGAGACCTAATTTTGCATTGATTGACAACAAATGTCAACTAATTACAAAGTGCACGTTATCACAGGGATGCAGATGGTGAAAACAGTTTACACTGATAAATGTGATATGGGTTTTGTCATTTTCTGAGATACTATGCAAACTTTGATGGGATATTCTTTCAACTCCACTGAGTTAAAAACCCTGCCAGGTGTTCATTAATAAATATTTAATCACTGGAATTTTAATGCAGGATAGGTTATAAGGATATTCTGTTTTATGACAAGATGAGTAGTTTTTCAGGCATGTTGATCTTAACTCAGTCCAGAC